ATGGCTCTTGTTGGATCTTCGAAGAGGTTCGATAGCATTAATAATATCGACGGAAAAAATAGCAACAAAAAGTAACTTTTCGCGTCAAATTAAGCTTAACAGCCAAGTGCACGGTCCATGGATACCTTTGCTTAGTCATCAGGCACCCTTACCGTTGTGCTACACCCAGAACGATTCGAAGTGCACGGGTTGATTCTTCTATCTTTATCATTTCGCTAGTATAAAAGGTCTAAGGTAATGATAATCGGAAATCTGCTAATTTTAACAAGGTACGGGATTGATAAAATAAAAACGCTCCAAGTCCATATCTATCAACAACCATTACAATTCATCTTTAGCGCTCGTTGTTTCGCTTTTTGGGGTCTCCTTGGTCTTCGATTTAGCCTTGGGTTTTGACTGCGATTTCATGTTCTTGACCTTCTTTTTAGTGATTGGTTTAGATTTGCTGGAGCCTTGTCGTCTCTGTTTGGTGAGAATGGAAGAGAGAATCTTTTCGATCTCTTTGAGCTTGGCATCGATTTCAGCGATAGTAAGTGCCGGGTCCTCAAACTCGCTGAGCTTATTCTGCTCTTCGAGTTTAGATTCAAGCCATTTGGTGGTGGCGTTTAGGAGACTTGCGGCGGCTGAGAGGTCCTCAGGTGAATAGAGTGAGTAGGTAAGAGTGGGTTTGACTAGGGGTGCAGATTGTGTTGCGGACGATGATTCAGCGAAGTTATCATTATCAAGGTCGCTGTTTTCATTTGAACCCTTAGATGGGGTGCCAGCTGGTGTTGAGGCGGTGGAAGGAGAGGATGAGTCTTCGTTTGTCGAGCTGGATGGTGCCTCGGTAGAAGCCGCTTCATAAGCTGATAAGGAAGAAGAGAAGAGCTCCTCTTCAGCTTTAATTTGACTCTCCATAATTTCTACCAGCATTTTTGTGCTGTCAAGACTTCCCTTCAAGGCATCGATCTTTCTGGGGCGAGTCAAACCTTCATTCCTTCGGTCAACTACTGGATCGACAATTCCCTTCAAATCGCGCAGTTTATCCTTGAGCTCTTCTATTCCGGCACTGGTGCCATCATCATGAAGCCACTCTCCCAAGATAGAAAGCTTCTCCTCCAATTGCTTTAGGACATCTTTTGTCGTAGCCTTGGTGAAAGTCTCTTCGTCAAGCCAATGGTGACCTTTGTAAATGAAGGCTTCTAGTTCATTAAATGCCTCTTCGCGATGAACACGAGAAAGGTCAGAGGCATCAAACGCGGAAAGGCGATCTTGAATACGCTTCATTTCCTCTGCCGTTATTGGGGGTATCCCTAAGACGGTGGATGTAAAGCCAACCGAAACCGACTCGATTCGGACTTTTGGCTCTTTGGCAGCCTTTTCTGCTTCCTTGGAGGAACTAGTCGAGGACGTCGCACTCGCAGACGCACTGTCTGCTGTCGAAGCCGTAGATGATGAAGTGTTCTCGAGGTCAATAGCATCCTCAGGCTCCTTGATAGGTTCCTGGTCAGATTTCTTCGACCCAAGTCCAAAGAATTCCTTGACATCCTCTACAACTCCCTTCTTCTCGACTTGGACATCGCAACTCACACTGCCACTCATAACTTCAGGGAGTCCGTTTACAGGGTTCAATCTGACAGACACCATGGTGGTAATGTTCACAGGAGAGCAGCCAAATTCGTCCCTGAGCTTAGAAGCTGACGCAGTCAAGTTCGCTGTTTGTGCCTCGAGGATGGGGGCTTCGACCTGCTTGCCATTTCGGGTGTAGAGTTGGGAAAACTTGATTGTAAAATCTTCCACATTCTTGACCGTCAGGTACTTGACAGACCCACTCTCCGAGTAAGGAGTGAAAATATTCTGTTGCCTATCTTTGTCTCCTGATTTCCATCTCATATTGATAGCGTAGCCCGAGGTATCATAAGTCCGGATCTCCTTGACGCGGAATGAGGGACTGAGGGAGGCAGCCTTGAAAGCAGCTCCAAATACAGCAGCCTCATCGGCATTGACATTTGTTCTGACTTTTCCATCGGTAGATTCTTCGAGTGCTTTCTTGACAAAAGGAGTTCGGGTGGCACCACCGTGAAGAATCACGGATTCAATATCGCTCATCTTCAAGCCTGCCGCGGAAATTGCTTCTGTCAGTGGAACAGTAACCTGGTTGGCATATTTCTCAGTGATTTTTTCAAATTCGGCCCGAGTGAGAGTGTATTTGAAGTTGACATCCTCCTGATAGAGATTCTCAAAGGATACTGTGGTTTCGGTGTTTGCGCTCAAAACATGACGAACCCGCTCAGAATCCTTCCATAGTTTTGCCATCGTCTTTCCGTGAGCCCTGACTTGTGAGATTGTCACATCTCCAAGCTTCTTTGTAGAGACAAATTTCTCTACCATATCATCCACGATTAGCTGGTTGAACATGTCACCACCCATGGTCTTGTCCCAGGCGGTCCCAAGGACATGGATTTCCTGGACGGTTTTGTTGAATTTCCCCACATCCTTAACAGTGCGGCTCTGGAGTCGAAGCACGTTTGCGCTAGTAGACCCAGCACCCATGTCAAAAATAACATGGTACTCAGGCTTCTTTCCGTCAGAAACATTTGGGAATGTGCGGGAGGTGGCATAGTTAATGCCAACGGCTAGACCATCGCTAACCATGGAGACAATGTCAAGGCCAGCTAACTCCGCGGCCAACTCCACACTACGCTTTTCCTCAGCGGTATAGAAAGGCGGAACTGTGATGGCTGCCTTTTTAATGTTTGTCCCCTTTCCACCCAATGCCTCTGCATTTGCCTTGACTTGCTTCAGCTGCATAGACAACAGTTCCTCGACAAGGAAGGGTTCTCTCCCATCATTTGCTCCAACTTTCGCGCTCCTAAACCCAACAGTCCCTCGATCTCCAGATGCAGCTTCAATTTTCAGGGCCGGGTAGCGCTGCCTATACATCTCAACCAAGTTTTCGTTCTCTGACCCGGAGCCTTGGATGCCAGTATCCACGGGAATGCCGAGCAAAGTCTTCAAGTTGGCGTAGACATCGTCCGGGAATCTGGCAGCAAGTGAACTAGCGTCACCGCCATAAAACCGTTCGGGGAATGTAGGGCTAGATTCACGGGCAGGTTTGAACGCTACAACTGCTGCTTCCTTTCTCTTTGAGTCCTTAGTCAGGACTATTTCGAGGGGTATTCCTGGTTTAACAAGGACGGCCTTTATATATTCTGTTCCGAGATCAATGCCAATGACACCAGAACCGACAGAGGCTGCCGCGGCTGCGGGGATAGTGACGGAGAGAATGAAGAGCAGTGCTGCTGCGGCGATTAGATAGAAGAGAGAAGCTCTCCTCCGTCCAAGCAGCGCCATTGTGACGATGACTTCGCAGGAGAAGTGAGGGGGAAGGCTACAGATCTAGACCTAAGATGTAATTGGATGTTATTACAATGCGCCTCAGATACAGGTAATAGCATCTCGGCCTGGTTGAATGGGGTCATACCTTTGATGAGAAGTTTGAAAGGAGCATATATACAATAAGTCAGAGCCTCGCTGACGGCAACAGGTTTGCTATCTGCTTCATGAAGGGAGAACCAAGAGAGTGCGGGAGTGGCTGGCAGATCACGGTAATGGGGGGCAAACTAGATGTTGCGGTCAAATTAAAATATAAACCAGCGCCGCTGCGGCGAATAAAAACTAACGGGCAGAAGAGGACACGTCTATGCTATGCGCCCAATTCCCGAATTGAATGTATGTATAATTAATGGTATGAAAACTAGCTGCCTTGGCCGCGAATGACAGAGAGAGCGGGAGATAGAGAGAGAGAGAGAAAGCCGCGATAAGGACACTTTGGCATCAGCTTCTTAACGCACTTTCGGCGATGTCGAGAGCTTGGTCGGTGCAAAGGGAACAAACATGCTGGATTGGGCATGTTTGCATCTAAATCTTGGCAAGTTTGTGTCACGTGGATATTCACGGATTATAGTTGATCCTCTTGCTTATGTAATGAGATGTCTCAAGAGACAAACAAGACAAACAGGCACCTCACCAAACCTCCTTCCAATCAAATATTTCATCCAACGAAAACGACTCTGCTTACCATCAGGAAGAACAATATCTAATATTAATGCTCTTATATCGTAGCTCCACTCGGCTTAGACGTGGACAATGCCCTATTTACAATATGACTACCGGAGCATCCGTCGTTTAATTTGGTTCACTTCGGCAGCAGTTTGGTGAACCCCCTCTGTGACAGGGGGGTATACTACACTCAGCAACGTAACATACTACCACGTATTGCACTTTGCTTCGGATGGCATACAGCTGCTGGAAATACTCATAGGTTGTCTAGACTACTGGCATGCTGCCTCACACAGCACACGTCGGGCGCAATCGATGTTTCTGTGCACTCTGCATCACCAGCAACGTTGTGTGGAGAAAGTAGTACTGTATCCATATGCAGATGGTGTGATAAAAGGAGGGGTTTTGGTTCACATTACACACGTTATTTTTGAAACCAGTAATGCCCGAGATGACTTTTTCTAACTCTCCAGGCGGAGATGACACGGTTTTATCATGCTTCTTTAGTATCCACGAGGCCTGGTAATGAGTCCACGTACATCTCCTGTTTACACAAGGCCACCAAAATTGGGATTCCAATGAGTACTGGTACATAGTTATGAGCATAGATTCATAATCAAAAAATTAAGGAACTATTGAAAAATTAAGGGGTGCTCTCTAGAGCAGTGTTATCAGAGACGGAAGGGAAATGTGCCGCTAAGTGAGGAGTATGTATCTGCATTTCTACAATCCGAACCTATTCACAGCTCCAAATCACATGGAAGAGGGAAAGGTATACGAAATTTTATTATTCCAATTGCTTGTCATTCCGCCATGTTCGCCCCCAATTACTACTGTCAATTATGAAATTAAAAATATAATAGCCAAGTGGGTGGCATATATGGTTGAAATAAAAGAGCGTCTGATCAATTAGAATGGAGGGGAAAAAAATGAACATGTAGAATTCAAGGGAACATGGCTCATGCCAGCATCATAGCAGCACCAATAACCATCAGGACAGAAATCCCAGAACCTTTAGTACGCGTGGCCATACCAGTGTATACTGGTGGTATAACTGGAGTTGGGCTTGTTGGGCTTGGCTGTTGCGTAGGGTTGGTACCACCAGTGGTAGTTTCTGATGGCGGTGCGGAAGGAATGCCAGTCTCAGTTGATGAGGGTGGCGGTGATGGGTAGGAGGGTGGCTGGCTTTGAGATGGCTGAGGAACAGTGCCAGTGGGTTGTGATGGAACCGGGGTTTCAGACGGGACTGGAGTCTCCGATGAAGAGGGTGGAGGAACTGGTGGAGGAACTCCAGTGCTCCCTGGAGGTGGTGGCGGAACACCAGTTCCAGTTGGGTATGGAGGACTCTGCGGGGGTGGACTCTGGGGTGGTTGAGGTACACCAGTACCAGTTGGAGATGGTGGGATAGGAACCACAGTCTCAGTTGTTGTTGTATGGGTGTAGGTTAAAGTGCTAGTCTCGGTCCTAGTCTCGGTAAACGTCTCGGTTCCGCTAGTGTGCGTCTCCGTAGTAACTAATATCTGTTAGTGTGACGGCTACAAGATTAACTGAACGTTTATGTAGATATTTCAATTTACCTGGACAGCTGGTGCTGGTGTATGTCTCAGTAGTTGTCAGAGTAATTGTTGATGTCGGGACAGGTGTCTCTGTTCCAGTAGGATATGTTGGGTAAGTTGGCACGGGAGTCTCAGTGCCTGTTGGCTCAGTAGGAACAGGAATCTCAGTGCCCGTTGGCTCAGTAGGAACAGGAATCTCAGTGCCCGTTGGCTCAGTAGGAACAGGAATCTCAGTGCCCGTTGGCTCAGTAGGAACAGGAATCTCAGTGCCCGTTGGCTCAGTAGGAACAGGAATCTCAGTGCCCGTTGGCTCAGTTGGAACAGGAGTCTCAGTGCCTGTTGGCTCAGTGCCTGTTGGCTGAGTGGGAACAGGCGTTTCGGTTCCCGTAGGCTGCGTTGGAATAGGAGTCTCTGTTCCCGTGGGTTGAGTAGGCACGGGAGTCTCAGTGCCTGTTGGCTCAGTTGGGGTTGGAGTTGGCAATGTTGGGATGGGAGTCTCCGTTCCTGTAGGGGTTGGTTGAGTAGGAATAGGGGTCTCAGTGCCCGTTGGCCCAGTTGGAATAGTAGTCTCAGTTCCAGTGCCTGTTGGCTGAGTAGGAATAGGTATCCCTGTTCCTGTTGGTTGAGTGGGAACAGGCGTTTCGGTTCCTGTAGGCTGCGTAGGAGTGGGAATACCGGTTCCTGTTGGCTCAGTTGGAATTGGAGTTGGCAATGTTGGGACAGGAATCTCAGTTCCAGTACCTGTTGGCTGGGTAGGAATTGGAGTCTCAGTTCCAGTACCCGTTGGCTGAGTGGGAACAGGAGTATCAGTCCCAGTGCCCGTTGGCTGAGTAGGAACGGGACTTGGCAATGTTGGGATAGGGATCTCAGTCCCAGTACCTGTTGGCTGAGTGGGAATAGGAATACCAGTTCCCGTTGGCTCAGTAGGAACGGGTGTTGGCAATGTTGGGACAGGAATCTCAGTTCCAGTTCCGGTTGGCTGAGTGGGAATAGGAGTCTCAGTCCCAGTGCCCGTTGGCTGAGTAGGAACAGGACTTGGCAATGTTGGGACAGGAATCTCAGTTCCCGTGCCTGTTGGCTGGGTAGGAATTGGAGTCTCAGTTCCCGTGCCTGTTGGCTGAGTAGGAACAGGACTTGGCAATGTTGGGACAGGAATCTCAGTTCCCGTGCCCGTTGGCTGGGTAGGAATTGGAGTCTCAGTTCCCGTGCCTGTTGGCTGAGTAGGAACAGGACTTGGCAATGTTGGGACAGGAATCTCAGTTCCCGTGCCCGTTGGCTGGGTAGGAATTGGAATCTCAGTTCCAGTTCCTGTAGGCTGAGTAGGAATAGGGGTTTCCGTTCCAGTGCCTGTTGGTTGAGTGGGAACAGGAGTCTCAGTTCCAGTGCCTGTTGGCTGAGTAGGAATAGGAGTTTCTGTTCCAGTTCCTGTTGGCTGTGTTGGAATAGGAGTCTCAGTTCCAGTTCCTGTTGGCTGTGTTGGAATTGGAGTCTCAGTTCCAGTGCCTGTTGGCTGGGTAGGAATTGGAGTCTCCGTAGGCTCACAGGTTGTAGTATCTGTCCCTGTTGGGCTTACAGTGCCAGTAGAAGTTGGGATTGGAGTACCAGTTGGAATTGGGATCTCAGTTCCAGTTGGAGAGGTTGGCTGCGTTGGAATCGGGATCTCAGTTCCGGTTGGAGAGGTTGGCTGCGTTGGAATTGGAATTTCGGTTCCGGTAGGGAAAGTTGGTTGCGTTGGAATCGGGATCTCAGTTCCGGTTGGAGAGGTTGGCTGCGTTGGAATTGGAATTTCGGTTCCGGTAGGGAAAGTTGGTTGCGTTGGAATCGGGATCTCAGTTCCAGTTGGGGAGGTTGGCTGCGTTGGAATTGGGATCTCAGTTCCAGTGGGGGAGGTTGGCTGTGTAGGAACTGGAGTATCCGTAGGTTCACAGGTTGTGGTCTCAGTAGGATTAACAGTGCCAGTAGAGGTTGGAATTGGAGTGCCAGTTGGGATTGGCGTCTCTGTCCCGGTAGGAGAGGTTGGCTGTGTTGGAGCTGGTGTCTCTGTGCCGGTGGGAAACGGTGGGAAGTCCGTTCCTGTGGGAAACGTTGGCACGGGGATATCTGTTCCAGTAGGAGAGGTTGGCTGCGTTGGAACTGGCGTCTCTGTCCCGGTAGGAGAGGTTGGCTGTGTTGGAGCTGGTGTCTCTGTGCCGGTGGGAAATGGTGGGAAGTCCGTTCCCGTGGGGAACGTTGGGATGTCTGTCCCGGTAGGAGAGGTTGGAATGGGGATATCTGTTCCAGTAGGAGAGGTTGGCTGCGTTGGAACTGGCGTCTCTGTCCCGGTAGGAGAGGTTGGCTGCGTTGGAACTGGCGTCTGTGTGCCAGTGGGAAACGTTGGGAAGTCCGTTCCTGTGGGAAAGGTTGGCTCAGGGAAATCTGTTCCGGTGGGAAACGTTGGCTCAGGGATGTCTGTCCCGGTAGGAGATGTTGGCACGGGGATATCTGTTCCAGTAGGCGATGTTGGAATTGGGATGTCTGTTCCAGTCGGAGAGGTGGGCTGCGTTGGAATTGGCGTCTCTGTCCCGGTGGGAGAGGTTGGCACGGGGATATCTGTTCCAGTTGGAGAGGTTGGCTGCGTTGGGACTGGCGTCTCTGTACCGGTAGGAAACGTTGGCACAGGGATATCTGTTCCAGTAGGCGATGTTGGAATTGGGATATCTGTTCCGGTAGGAGACGTAGGCTGCGTTGGAATGGGTGTTTCTGTCGGGGGAGGAACTGGAGTGCTTGGAGGATATGTCGGCAATGGTGGATAAGGGTATGTCAGAGTATCGGTCGGTTCTGAGGGATCATTAGGCCAGGTGGGCCAACCCGGCTCTTGAGGCTCAGTAGGTTCACTTGGTTCTTGAGGCCAGCTTGGGAAGCCCCCTCCATTCCCTGGAAAGCTTGGAAAGCCGCCTGGAAATCCCCCTGGAAAGCCCCCTGGAAAGCCGCCCGGAAAGCCACCGGGAGGGCCACCTGGGTAGCCACCTGGATAGCCACCTCCATAGCCACCTCCATAACCACCTCCATAACCACCTCCATAACCACCTCCATATTCATGGCGCTTGATGGCAGCACCAAAGGCAACATTTGCCAATGGCAGCCAAACAAGGGCTGACTTCATCTCGAATCACAACAATGAAAGTTATGCCAGCAATTCCGATGCGTGGGAAGCACAATATAAAAAAGTTAAATAAATATAAAATAAAATAAATAGAATAAAATAAAATGAATGAAAGGAGTGAATTGAAGGAACCGTAGCGAAGGAGTTCCTCGATGCCAACTATGACTTCCACGACACCTGGGTATAAAAAAGAGAGAGCAAGGGAGAATGTAGGGAGCGCATGGGGCTTATATGCACCCCAAGTGGGCGTCTATCGTAAGGAATGATGAATATCATCCGGGCCTAGATAAAACACATCATGGGTAACTTGATCAATCAAGGTTTCCAGCGCCATGCCAGAGACCAGCGTCGATTTGGTCCGGCAAGGAAAAGAAAATATATTGTAGTTACCGAGACCGAGATATCGTGTGTAACCTAAACAACTGCAAGGGAGTCCTAGCAATGTGTATGGCTGCATCGTGCACATCAGTCCTCACAAGATATCCGCTTCAAGAGAAATTGCAAGGATCAGGAGCCCTTGTGCATCCTCATCCTCAAGGCTTAACTTTCCCACTCCTCTAAACTTCTCATTTTACCTGTATTGTACCTTAATTAGCTGAAGTTTAACAGGAATTGGCTTTAGCCCGGTGTTTATATACCGACATATACTTACAGCACCCTCTTCTTCAGTTCTGATGCTATCAATAAGTGAACCTTCTCAGCGATAGTTACTATCCCCAAGAACGAAAGAAAAATTCAGTTATGTAGCTCCCAAGAATCGTACAATATATCAATTCTTTTGCTGCGTATTATCCAGTAGATAATCCGATCGAAACACGCCATCCGGGGAGTTTGTTTCTGATCAAAGGCGACACTGCAGCGGAGCTGTGGGAAATCCTTGTCCAACTGGCACGTTGATGGAGAGGCAAATGTTCTTCCAGCCCTCTGAATATTCGGTGGGTGGTAACTAGAATATGCAGTGCGAACGGACACGATTCGTAGAACTTGATGCATGGACTCACATTTCTCAGCCGGCGCTTCGTCCCTCCATTCTCATGGTAGGGTTTGCCTGATAAACCCAAAAATATCGAGAAGTGGGTTTATTTATTTATTTATTTTTATGATGGCTGTTCTGGTTTTGGTAACAGCAGGCACAAAACGCCACCATGGCTCATGCTTATTGGTGGGAACGGCTGTTGGGCGGGCCGGGCCCAGCATGGACGGATGAGGGCTTCCACGCCGATAATGATGATAATCCAATATATCGGCTGTGAACATTGGAAGATCAGGCAAGGTGGTTGATGTTTCAAAAACTTACTAAGTTAACAGGCGGGGGCGTGGGAGCAAAGTTGGTTTAGTTACTCCGTATTATTAACTCTGAACAATTAACCACAATTAAGGAATCCGACTAATATCAAGGGGCGGTAAGCGCAGATCTCATCCGCTATGTGGCTAAAGATGTCATTGCGGTGTCTAGAGCGACATCGCATCACCTCGAATTTCACGTTCAACCAGGTAGAGAACTCTCCGTAACTCGGGCCCTGAGTCTCCAGGCCGAAGAGTGGAAATTGCTGGAGCCATGTCTCTGGATTCAAGATGTCACCCCCTGTCAATCTCAAGGCGAGTATTCCCGGGCTGGATGCTTGCGTTTATAGTTATTGCACGTAGTCTGACATACGGAGTACCAGGACACGTATCATGTAACTATGCACCCCGAGAATAGGTAAGAAAGTAGTTTGTATGGGATGCGGGGAGAAGGGACGCTGCTGACACCTGTACGACTCCCGCTGCAAGCTAGTCTCATTGGCTATCTCTGCCTTGTAGCAGAGTAAGAGGCACACTATGGAATGGCTGCATCGCTTGCCCATGCCTGAAGCAATGATAGAGGACTAATGTAGGCGGTTCATATTGGTGGTTATGTACGCTTATATTCCCGGGTATGCATGTTAGTCGATATCCGAGAAGAGCATTCCAAGGTTTCCATGCCTTGGCCAGCTCATTGAGGCAAGCGGGATTATCCCGAAGGGCCCGAACATTATTCTCCCCTATGATGGTGGCATATTGGCCTGTAGCCTCTGCCGGCCTCGGATTTCACTCGGGTCCAGCGGGATAATAGTAGAAAACCATGTTAGAGATCAGCTCCGCATCCATAACGAATCTGAGGCCTAAGTCATCAGATCGTCAGATCAGTGTTATGTGTATGTATATCAAAGCATAGGGTTACGGTTGAATGATGTACCAACTCCGCATCTTGCGTTCCTGAAGTTTGCCGAAAGTTCCTGTCAGGAAATGCATATATACCTTCACACACTGTCAATACAAGATGTCATCCTGGATATCGAGCGATAGTCCTTGCAACAGACAACTGTCACTGCCCTCAGGCAGTATCCGAATTCCCTCACAATGCTTGAAACAGGTAGGTGTGAACAATGGCAGCATTCCCAGAGTCTGTTGCAAGTGGCAAAGCCGGATTTTAACATGTGAGGCAAGCCCGCCATCAATTGCTTTTTGGTTCAGCCACGAGAAATTTTCGTTTTCGAAATCAAGGAGACAAAGGCATCTTTTGAAGGATTGAAGCCCTCGATGCCGTCGAGAATTGGCAGAACATTCCTGTGCGGCGACGCACACTTGCTCTCCATGCAACCGCTGTGCTATCACCATTGGTGTGCCGGTCTGCTCTGCTGAATTAACAGCACCTTCTCCTTGGCGGCAACTTTACTTTTTCCGGCCTCAATATATCTTTTTATTGTTGAATCCCATTTTGTCCAACATGGAACTCATTACGGAGTACCCGAATTGAATGCTGGGCCGTCGAGTCAACTAACCGATGCAGGCACTGCATGACTCATTCCTGACTAGACTGTGTAAGGAGCACCTCGCCACTTACATCAGACCATTTCGCTGCTCTAAGCATGTTGTATGTACCGTGGTATACGAAGGGACCTCTATGCGAAGAAGTGTTGTTATCGTGGCTGAATCTGGGGAACATGCGCTGGTGGAGATTAGTGGAGAGAAAGATGCAAATAGACAGGAATGAAAATATCCAGAAAAGAAAAATAAATACTGATGGCGGGATGGGTCGGTTAGCGATTTGGAGCCTCTCATTGGCTGGTACCTTTTTGCGGAGATGAAAAAATGAGCTGTTGAAAAATATGCCACCATACCTGAAAAAAAGGGCGATCCTTGTGTGGAGAGCAGAAGCTTAAAGAAAAACCCCGAGAAACAAAGGCATTCCCATCTGCTTCTCCTCCTCCTTCTTCTTCTTCATAAAGATATCAATCCTCTGTTGTCGGCGTCTAGGAGGGTGGTTCAATTCTGGAATAATACGTTGGAAGACAGACTCGGCTTTGGCTGCATTCAGGCGGTAAGGGGCGGGCAGCGGTAGAGCCGTCTGCGGCTGTTGCCATCACACATGTTGCCTTCCAGGAATTTCTGGGGCTTCATTGAACCTTATTGCAGATCAGTCAGGGGGTGTGGGGGAAGATGTTCAGTAAGTGTTGATCTCGTGAAGAATTAATTAACACCAGACGGAGACTGTCTCAATCGTCACCAGAATCACTATCGCTCTCCCATCCATCAATATAAGCCTCAGATAGCGTAGCTAGGGAATTCGATAATTCTTCGCGTTGGTCAAAGGGGACGTAGATCCCCATCGACTGCTGCAATTCTTTGAGATATCCTCTTGCTTGTGAGGATATAGATAGCGCCGCATGAACCTTGAGTGTTGACCCTGGTGGCCCTTGGCCTGCGACTAAGTCACGGGGAAAGGAGTCTAGTATCGGGTATTCTAGTTGTGTATCGAAGCTAGCAACTGTTTTAGTACTGTTTCGAAAGTTCTCGGCCTCCCTGTCTCCCCGCAGTTTCGCTGCGAAGAAATCGAGGGGGATGGGATGGTTCCAAAAAACTTACCTCTGGGTCTTGGAGCTCGCATTCACGGGTGGCCCTGTATTGCTTGAAGAACTAGACTTATCGCTAGTTCTGTCTCTTCTAACCGAGAGTTGATGGAATACCCTACTGTCATGGGTTGATGCAAGACCGAGTGGAGAGAGTTGAACATCAAACTGTTTCAACTTTTCTTGGGGTCCGTCATCATCATCATCATGGCCATGACTGGCTCCAGATCCAGATGTGTCCTGCCCTGAACTTCCCTTATCGGTAGGAAAACCAGATAACTCCTGTGTGCCTACGGTGGATTCCAGGTGATATATGTTCCGTGAATCTCGGGAAGCTATTTCCCAGAGGTCAAGCGCTTCATGTCCTCTTAGTCGAGTGGGAAGGCTGATACTCTCGAGAGCTAAAGATATCAGGGCCGATGAGAGCCATGTATGGCGCAGGTCTGGCTTCACATAGGACGCTAGCCTGCTTGGCAGGTCTGCAATGGGTATGAAAGCTGTGACTTGACTGCCTATCTCGCTCACTGACCTTGCTAGGTTCGCAGATGCAAGCTTACGTTTTTCCTTGTCCTCGGAGGTTAGAATACGATTCGAAGCCATGGTAAGGATGAAACAGGAGCGGCCAACTTACTCGTCGTAGGCTGGATGGATCATTTAGAGCCCATGTCCAAATACTCTTGCTTCCGTATTCATCTTTCAAGCGGTCTACGTAGCTTGCCGCGAAACCACCCCATGCATCGTTCACTCCGGAAAAAATCTGGATCCCCTTCAACTGGTCACATTCTTCCGCAAAAGGCCGTAAATCACGGTCCAGTAGGTCATGTTCTCTGTCCAGGTCGGAAAAGAGAGTCTGTCCCGTGGACCAGTCCTCAAACGGCATCAGCTGAGAACCAAGGTCGTACTCATTGATTTGCTGGATAGAGCGTGGGCTGTAGAATACGCGGTTAAAGTCGGACCAGTACCTAACGGTTTCTGCAGTCAACTCAGGAACCGGTAGCCCCATATCGAGGCATCTTTGATATTCAATCTGCGGTATCTTAGGCTGCTGCTGCAAGATTCCGTTTGTGTCCCTACGCCGTCAATATGTTAGGACGTCAACTATAAGAGACAAGAACGAAAATGCGACAT